TCTATTTTTAAAGCCTTGTGACATCAACCTTGAGTGAACAATATGCTACAGAGGGGTATGTGCCCTGCAAAGCCTAAAATACTTTCTATCAGGCTCTTTACAGAACATTTCTTGACTTCTACTTTAGACCTGGGTGACTGAATCAAAATAGATTATTTTGAACCAGGTGTGGTGGCCTCCGCCTGTAGTCCCAGTTACTTGGGAGGCTGAGGCAGGATGATCCCTTCAACCGAAGAGTTCAAAGCCAGATTGGACAACATAGTCAGACCTGGTCTCTAAAACCAACCAAGCAAAACAACAATACCACTCCCTACAGACAAATAAAAACTAGGTGTTTTCTTCTTATCATTCTGGATGTCTAACAGATCTTCCTGGAAGTGAGAGAAATCAAGCTGAGAAAGTCTGACAATCAAGTAAAGGTAACTGGTAAATTGTACAAGCAGCCCTGTGCGCAGAGGTCAAAAAACGACCTGTGACCTCCTCTTGTGTTGAGAAGAAGGGACAGGAGGAAAGGGGGTGGGTCAGCAACCCAGAATTCTACCTGCAAATTTTGTCACTTTTTGCCCACAGAAGGCCTCTCCTACCCGTTGCATCTGTGTAAAGACAAGAGGGCTGAGGGTGGGGTTGGCAACATGATTGAGGGGACCCAGTACAAGATTAAAATGCAGGAAAGGCCAGGTGTGGAGGCACATGTCTGTAGTCCCAGCACTCAGGAGGCTAAGGCAGGAGGATCATTGTGAGTTTGAGGCCAGCCTGGACTACATAGTGAGACCCTGTCTCAAAACAAACAATGCAGGAAAAAAAAATGAGGGAAAAAAGTATAGTTAAAGATACTAACATTCCACTGTTGGTGGGAGTGTAGACTGGTACAACCACTGTGGAAATCAGTGTGGAGATTCCTCAAAAAACTAGGATTAGAGGTTTCATTCCACCTAGCTATTCCCCTTCTGGGTATTTTTTCAGAAGAATTGAAAACATCATACCACAGTAATATATGTGTACTCATGTTTATAGCAGCACAATTTGTCATAGCTAAATCTTGGAAACAACCCAAATGCCCATCAGCTGAGGAATGGATGAAAAAGATGTGGTATTTTTATACAATGGAGTACTACTCGGCTATAAGGAAAGATAAACTTGAGGCTTTCATAGGTAGATGGATGCAACTAGAGATCATGCTTGTAAGTGAAATAAACCAGACTTGCCTGTGTAAACATCATATTATCTTTCTAGTGTATGAAGCTGAAAGAGTAAATAAAATCCAAAAGGTACAGTAGATATTGTGAAAGGGAAAGAAATTGCTTAAAAGGAAAGAAAGACTGGGATGGGGGAAAGGAGAAAAGAAAGAAGGAAGGGAAAAAAAATATATATATGTGTACACGATAGCTAAGATAATCATACTGCTAATTTCTATTGGTTTATTGAAAGGAACAGTTAATGCCTAATTGTTTGATGAATTTTGCATACCTATATGTGGTACCTGTACAACTACTTTGAAGATAACAATATGCAATATAACAAGCATGGTTAATTTCCTATCATCTTGTTTTGAAATTCTTTTTTATTTGAAAGAGTAAAAGAAGGATAACATAGTAATAGAAGGAGCTTACCAAATTACAGATAAAATTATCTGGTAAGAAATTATCAATGGTTGTTGTTTTACATATTGTTATCTACAAGATTGTTTTTCAGGAAAACAAATAGACAAATAATAGTGAATTACAGACCAAAGAGGTAGGAGATTATCAATAGTTGTTATACTGTACTTTGGTATCTTCAAAGTGGCTCCTAAAGAAAATAGAGTTATACATGAGTGACCAATTGAATAATCATTAACTATTCTCAATGGTTGTTGTAGGAAACACATAATAATAAACATACATCCATTTATGAAATAGCATAGGAACAATACAAACATTACAGAGTTATGGACAGATTAGTAGGAAAATATCAATGGCTGCTGTAATACATTATATCTTCAAAGTGGTTTCTCAGGAAGACAGAGATACACAAGGAAGATCTAACAAGTAGTTACAGCCTAAGGGTTGTGAAAAATAGTGTATTACCTCCTCACCAGTGATTCCTTTCACTGAGGTGTGATGGCTGGAAGGAAGGCCAGGATTGAAAAGAAGGACCAAGAGACTTGTACCTCTGTCTAGCAACAGGCTGTTTTCTTTTTCCTCCATAGTCATGATTACCCGGGGCTCCTCCATGGAGATGATAGTCTGGCCAGAGGGAGAAGGCAGAGTATAAGGATCTGAGCTCTGGGGCCTCTGCTTCAGAGGGCAGACCGATCTCCAGCAGTCTCATTTGCATTCAGGGCATGGCCCAGGGGGCTTCTTAGGGCAGTTCCTCTTGAGGTGGCCTGGCTTTTAACAGTGGTAGCAGATGAATGTAGTCACTGAGTTCTTCTTGTGGCCTCGCGAATCAGACTTAGGGTCTGTTTCTCTTGTTGCTGCAGCAAAAGCAGCTGCTTTTTCTCGGTCACTTTGTTTTCTCTCCTTGGTCTCCTCCTCATCAGGGCTATAGAATACTGAGGAGGCAATTCTTACTAACATCTCAAGTGAGCCATATGGGGCAAGAGCCATTTTTTTGTAGCTTTTTCTCTCCAGCCTCCCAGTGCATTGGGACCCCACAACCACTTAGTGTCCTCTTCCCAACCGTCAGCACAGGCAGCAGGAATCTCGGTGCAGACCTCTCTGGAGCTCCACACACTCCTCCACTGCAGCCTGTACTATCAGGGGAAGAATGGCTTTCAGGAGGTCTCCCCAAGTATTGCGCAAGGTCCTCCTGGTTTCCAGCTTCCGAACGGCTCTCGTGACCCTGGTCAACTAGACCTCTGAGTCTTCAGGTGTAGTCTGTATTCTCGTGTTCTCTGAGTCCTTGTTCAGCATCTGCTCCTCTGCTGACTCTGGACCTTTCTGATTCTCAATGGCAGGGGCAAGAGTGACCCGTTGTGTGGCATGTATTCCCAGGGATTTCTCCATGTTGGAATGATTCACGCACATCTGCAGGCAGGCCTCCACAGCTGGTGCGTGGTGGGCCAATTGTGTCATTGCTTCTTTGTGCCATGTGTTATGGTTTGTTTGTGTGTCCCCCCAAAGCCTCATGCGGCCATGGGGCAGGGTTTTAGAATTGATTGATTGTGGGTGTGAGAGCTACACCCGCCCTGGGGTGGATAGTTTGCATATGTAAGGGAGAGGAAAAGGGTGCTTGAGGCCATTCCTCCCCCATTCCTCCCTGGTGTGTGGTTGTGGCTTTTGCTGTGTTCTGCCGCCATGAGTGGTAGCCCTCTGCCATGTGCCACTCTGCCTTCTAACCTGACAAGTATGGACTGAAACCTCCACAAACTGTAAGCGAAATAAACCTTTCCTTCCTTCATTTTGGGCGTCAGGTATTTTGCCCCAGCAACGAGAGAAAAGTAACCAAGACACCATGATAGTTCTTGATTGTGTGGCGGCAGCCTGCCCGAGGGCCGGTGCACCCTGCTGCTCAGCTTCCTGGGTGCAGGGGGTCCACCTCCTGGGCACCTGTGTGGCTGGGGGCCAGTCCAGAGCTTGTTTTGAAATTCTATATTGTTTTATTGTCTTTTAAATTCTCTTTTAAAAAAAGATACTAACATACAAAGATATCTTCTTTGCAAATAGATTTTTTATACTTTAAGTTGCTTTATCAGTGTTGCATAGCCACATAATTAAAAATAAATAACAAGTAATATTTGTAGTTTTTATTAATTTATTTTTGCTATAGCAGGGATTGAACCCAGTGCCTAAAGCATGCTAAGCAAGTGCTCTACCACAAGACTGCACACCTGGAGGCCTTTTACTTATTTTATTTTATTTTGAGACAGGGGCTGGCTAAGTGGTCCAGGCTGGCCTTGAACTTTGATCCTCCTGCTTCTCTGAGTAGCTGCCTTTATAGGCATAGGCCAGCACATCCAGCCAAGTAATATTTATAAACGTGGTTATCTCTGAGGTTCCGAGTCTCTGTGGAAGGGTATGAATTCAGTCCTGAAGCAAAACTCTCCTCTTGGGTGTTGGTCTTTTCTTCAGTCAGGCTGGTCTGCCGGTTGTCAACTCTGATGAAAATAGTGTAATACTTATGAAATAGAATAGGGGAAATAGTGATCTATGAGTAACATGAATCTATCAATGAGTTTACGCTGTGTGTGGTGTTACAGTTTATACCACTGTGTTAGTCAGCTTTCAGCCAATACCCGAGGTAACCAATTTAATAAGAGGAGCTGGTGCATGCTTGTAATCCCAGAACTTGGGAGGCAGAGGCAGAAGGATTACTGTGAGTTTGAGGTCAGCCTGGGCTACATAGTGACACCCTGTCTCAAAAAACAAAACAAAACAAAACTTAATAAGAGGAAAGGTTTTACTGGCTCACAGTTTCAGAGGTTTCAGGTAGTGAGCACTTGCTTGTTTGTGGGACTGTGGTGGCACAGTTCATCACGGTGGCAGTGGCTGGCGGAGGACATGATGCTCTGCTCATGATGGCAAGGAAAGAGAGGCAGAAAGGAGAGGGGTCCCAATATCCCTGTTCAAGGCCACGCCCTCCAGTGACCTCACTTCCTTTCACTAGGCCCCGCCTCTTAAATGTTCCATCACCTCCAAATCGTACCTCAAGCTGGGAACCAAATCTTCAACCCATGGGCCTTTGGGGGATGTTCAAATATAAACTATAGCAACATAAATACCATTTTATTAGTGTGATGTCTTGATCAATCTTAGGATTTTCCCTGCATACTGTAGCTACTTGCATTTCACTGACAGTGCTTTGCTTGAGTTTTGGTCACTTGTGTCTTAAGAGTGTTAATGTCCTGCTGCCTTCAGCCTGTAGGATGTGCAGGAAGGGATCAGAGAGCCGAGGAGAGTGAGTAGAGGGGCAGCTTCAGGGCCACCAGTGTCCTTCTTTGCCCGTCTCCAGACGCAGTGCCCCCTCCCTGCCTTCCGAGTGTGACCTCACAGACCGTGGGTTCCATGTGTTCCTGGGGCTCACAGCTGCTGCTGACCAGCCAGGTGTGGCACACAGGCGATGGCGAAGATGAGCCGAGTTGTGACCTTCTTTGTCCTCTTCCTGGACTCTTGGCCCAGTGCGGAGCGCTACCCTTACCCCCAGGTCAAAGGTACCCTCACCGCAGCTGGAGGACCGGGGTCCCACCCTCAGGCTGGTGTGGCCAGCTCAGGCGTCCTCATTTTATGGCCTCTGCCTCCCCGAGTTCACCACTGGGGAAGTATTTCCTGGCAGTACTTTGAGTAATTTGAAAAGTCCCCTAACTTTGAGACTTTCTTAAAACCCAGAGCCCCATGGGAGGATAGCACACATGTACACTGCAACTTTTTATTATAAAAAAAAATGTTTGAGAGTTGCAGGCCAGCCCGGGCTACCTAGCGAGATCCTGTCTCAAAAACAAAAAACAACAGCAGACCTCTTTTATCCATGGCTGCGGTTAAGCCGTGGTCAACCATGGTCTGAAAATATTAAATGGAATATTGTAGGAACACACAATGTATGAGTTTAAAATCTGTGTGCCCTTCAGAGGAGTAGGATGAAATTTCATGATGCAGTGGAAGCTTGGTGCTCAGTGTTAACTGGCTGCCGGAGATACAATAAGCACCAACAAGGATGAGTACTGAACAAGCTCTTTTGGCTGGAAAGGGTGTCAATTACAAGGCAGCTGACACTGATGACTTCTAGCTTGCACATCGGGTACCAAACAAACGATGAACACCAGGGGCCAAGGCTTTGTGTCAAAATGCGTAGAGTACCAGATTCCACTCGTTTCAAAGCAGCCAAGTCCCAAGGTGCCTGGGGTGGGATGTGACACTTTGTCCAGCCTATCTATAGGCCATTAGTGTCACAGCTGTTATTCTGGGTGTCAGGCCAGCTATCATGGTGTCACAGTGCTCAGGGGTAAGTCACCCTTATTCTCTAAGCCGTGGCCTCAAAGCACAAGACAGTGGTGATGCTGACAGTGCGGATGCCCAAGGAGGAGAGGGGAAGTCCTCGATTTAACAAGGAGGGGAGAGAATGTGGCGCTGAGGATCTGTGGGGAGAACGAAGCTTCTCTGTTTTTTAGTGCTGGGGATGAACCCAAGGCCTCCTGAAGGCTGAGCAGTGTCCACCCCTGAGCTACGCTCCCAGCCTGTGGGGAAAGATTCCATCACAGCTGAGTTTATTTCCCCCACAGGTTCAGATAGTACATTTTCCTCAAGTTCAACGAGTATGGAAAAAGATATGGCTAAAATATTTGGTAAGTAACCTCCTACTATGGAACTGTTGCGAGGAGTCCCCAGCCCTGGGGTCACGGAGCTGGTCCTGGGGCTGTTAGGATGCAGGCAGCGTGGCAGGTGCGTGGCGGGGACCAGTGGAAGCTCCTCGGTGTTTCCAGCCAACTCCCACCACTGACAACTCCGCCCGGGGCAGATCAGCTGCAGCATTAGATTCTCATAGGAGGGCGAACCCTACTGTGAACTGCACTGGGAGGACCCAGGGTGGGCGCTCCTAATGAGAATTTGATCCTGACCCTGGTCCCCCCACCCAGCCCTGGTCCATAGAAAAACTATCTTCCGGGAAAGTGGTCCCTGGTGGCAAAAATGTCTGGGACTGCAGCTTTAGGGTGCATCCGAAGAGTCACACACTTGTCCTTGGTGGTCTCCTGGGAAACCTGCTCCTGCTGTTTTGAAGGGGATGACGAATACTTTCTCTTGAGGGTAGGATCAGTTCCTCTAAGTGCATGGTCCAAGCGATTAGGCCAAACAGGAAGTTAAGCATTTGGAACCCCGTTCCTCAAAAGGTAGCGGGGTAGCAGAGGCAGGGCCACCACTGGGGAGACACTGAGACCGCAGAGCTGCATGTACAATTTCTGCCCCAAGAGCCTGCAAGGCCCAAGGCTGAGTTGAACCCATCCCCACTGCTGTCAGCCTAAACCCAGTGTGGGAATCCCTGGAAAGGTTGTTAAAAGTCACCCCTGGCCGTGAATTCACTGTGTAGCCTCAAACTTGCATTGATCTTCCTGCCTCAGCCTCTCCAGTGCTGGGATTACAGGTGTGTGCCACCATGCCCAGCTGCATCAGCTTTTTTTGTTTGTTTGTTTGTTTGTTTTTCTTCTGGTACCAGGAATCAAATTCACGACCTCATGCTTGCCAGGCAGGTACCATGCCGCTCAGCTAAATCCCCAGCCCCTGCGTCAGCTTTTTAAAAAAAGCCTTTTGGCTGACTCCAGGCTGGGACTCATTGCCCTATTCCAAGTATTGAGAAAAGTAGCAATGTTAACTAGCTGATCTGGGGTTATTCTTTTTTATTTAGTTGTTTTTATTTTTATTTTAAAGAGAAAAAGACCAAACCCCCACCCAAAAAAAAAAAAAAAAAATCCAAAGCAATATGATAGGGTAACAATTATTAACACATTGCTTATTGTTATATTTAAATTAGTTGCTCAGAGTATGAGATATCAGCATTTAATCATCCAAACAATATTAGTGCAAACCTATCTTTTCAATAATCTGAGAGAAATTAGCAGTATAACTATCTGAACTAGCGTTTATGTGTACATATACATTTTCCTTTTACTTTTCCTTTCCTTTTTTTTCCCATTCCCATACATGAGTTTCTCTTTCCTTCTGAATTTTCTTCCCATTTTACAACATTTTTTTTTTTTTTTGGAGACAGGGTCTCACTATGCAGTTCAGGCCGGCCTTGAGCTTACTTTGTAGCTCAGGCTGGCCTCAAACTTGCAATGATCCTCCTGCCTCAGAGGAGGAATTGTAGGTGTGTGCCACCATGCCTGGTTTACAATATCTGTTGTACATTTTGGATCATATTTACTCTTTCAGCTTCTCACATTAGGGAGATAATATGATGTGTACATATGCAAGTCTGATTTATTTCACTTATGAGTATAGACTCAAGTTGCATTCATTTATGTATAAAATTCTCCAGTTTATTCTTCTTTATGGGTGAGTAATACTCCATTATATAAAAAGACCATATCTTTTTTATCTACTCCTCGGTTGATAGGCATTGGGGTTGTTTCCAAGCTTTAGCTATGACAAATTGTGCTGCTATAAACATGGGTGCACATATATTGCTCTGGCATGATGTTTTTAATTCTTCTGGAAAGAAACCCAGAAAGGGAATAGCTAGGTCAAATAGGACCTCCAATGCTTGGGGTTATTCTGATGAGAAAGGTAGTGATGAAATATTTTTGCCTTCTCATTAGCTCTCTGTTAAATGCTTTCAGACACTATCCTCTTCAATTTCCACAAAACACCTGAGTTGTTTAATAGCTTCCCCATCCTGCTTTTGAGGAAACCAAAAATCAAAGACATGAAGTTAGTTGCCTGAGGTCATGTTTTAGTGAATAGCAAAATCAGGATTTGGGTGTAGGACTCTTGGCCCCAACATTATAACTGTCATTTGAAAAGCTCTCCAGGAGAGGCAGCAATGAAAAGCTTTTCATTTCTTAAAGGAAGAAATGATGTTTCTATCCATATGTCTTTGGTGGGCAGTGTTAACTGGGCAAGACATCTGGTGCAGTCAGATGATCCAGCAGTGACTCGGGTCACTGATTCCCCCTTCCTAAGACGAGGCATTCAGAGCAGGGTCCATAGCCCAAGTTCATGTCCTTGGCTCACTGTGTGCATGGACTGCTTCAGGTACTCTCAGAGCAGGACGCGTCGCTCTGTTGCTGTGTTAATGCGCCTTTGTCTGCCTCCCACAGATGACATTCTGCAGCAGGTGTCTCCTAAGGAGCTGGATGTCGAAGTTTTTGGGAAAACAAGTACGACAGTGGGGCCAGTTACAAGGGAAGACCTGGATGAAAGCAAGTATATGTTGCTACTGCCCTGCTGCATGTGTTTCCATGGGCCTGGGGACTGTAGAATACTGGTGGACTAGGCTGTTGTTTGCATTCTGGGAACCAGCTGCTGCTGGGGTGGAGCCCAGCTGAGGCGTGAAGTTCTGAGAGAACTGTGGGAAATCCTCCCCTAACAGGTGTGGGCCGGCCTGAGGTCTGCAGCATGAATGTGACTGTATTTGGTGTGATTCTTGCTGTGCAATGTTAGGCAGGTTCTGCCACAGCACCCAGGTGGAGTTCAGAGAACAGGAAGCTGATTTTCATGTGAGGTTCTCTATCCCGTGTGAAATGAGCTATGAATAATCACTTTGTTTTCATTGGTGCTCTATGTTTCACTGCCCATGATTGACCTGGCCACTGGCCTGGGAGAGCAGAGCCTCCCATCTTCTCCACATCACCCTTATTCCTATCTCAGCCTTTGTAAAATATCTTCCCCAATAACAGAGTTTATTTCTTTGTTAGCACTGACCTCAGATGCCAAAGCTAAAGGAAGCAGCTGGCCACATATGTCAAAAACAAAAAAACACAAAACACAAAAACCATGCACATTAGCCCAGAATCACACAAATAATAGAGAAACACTTTGCATTAAGAAGAAAATTAGTGGGGCATGGTGTCACATGCCTGTAATCCTAACACTTGGGAGGCTGAGGCAGGAGGATTGCTGCAAGTTCAAGGCCAGCCTGGGCTATATAGTGAGATCAAAGGCAGCCTGAACTACACAGTAAGACCCTGTCTCAAAAAAAAAATTAAAAAATTAAAAATGGGTAATTAGCAGAATAACCCTGAGGCATTACTATATAAGATTATCAGTAGAACAGTCTTACAACTACAGACCCTGCCGATGCATTTCATATGCCATTTGCTTAAGGTAAAAATGTATTTTACTGCATAATCTTGATGGATTGTCCTGTACCACATTTCATTATATTCCCTTGGCCAACACAATATCTTCAACAAATTTTTAGCCAAGTGCTGGGAGGATAAAGTGTATCTGTTCCTAATGATTCGCTGATGTCTTGTTGACAGAGAACCGTGCATTTGTTAGTTATTGAATCAGAGCTCGACATCATTCTGCACATACCTCACAGGCATTTCCACCAGCGTTTCTGTAGAGTCAAAGCTTGCCATGTGGAACCAGGCAAAAAGGAGCTTTGTCATTGGTTTTGTGCTGGGACTTCAGATAACTGCAGATGCTTCATGAATGCTCTGTGACAGAATGCAGGCCACCTGCCCCATGCTCCTCCCCAAATACCTTGTAGCAGTTAGTGACTTTAAAGAGGATGAATGTAGCTTCAGTGGAAGACTTAATCACAACTAAGTTTTATTTTACCACAGGTTATTTCCAACGAAACAGCTCAAGAAATTCTGAATTTGCATCAAGTTCAAATAAGGAAGATGAACATTTGAAAAAAATATTGGGTAAGTAATATCCCTTTGTGAAACCTTTAGTCTGGATTTGCAGTCACATGGTTATCCTTGGTTGTCTCCCAGGTAACCTGTTCATGCTGCTTGTGGCCAGAATCAGTTCCTTTCAGTGTCAAAGTCCCAAGAAATTAAGCAAACCATGGAAAATAAACACTTGCAAAGGATCCTGGTTCTCAAAGAGGGAATCAGATAGTGGCACCAGGGTCTCCACCTGGAAACATGAGATTCTCCCATTGAAGGAGACATATCTTGTCCTGTGTGGATGTGGCATCTGATTGTGGGATGCAGGGAGACCTTGACATTGATAGTTTCCAAAGCCTTCTGGTGACTCTCAGCTGTGTGTCACTGGTTCACCTCAAGATTCTCATTTACTGTCTGAGAAAAACTAAGGTCCAGATAGATGATGGGGTAGGAAGCTCCAAAATCTGTCCCTTTACCAAAACAGTAATTGAGCTGGTTAGACCTGTCTAGCCAGCAGCTATTTTGGAACACTGGAGTCTTGTCAAACACTTAGAGTCCCAGGGTGACCTGGATGAAGAGGCTGGTAAGTGCTGGTGAGCTCCAGCACTTCACACAGGGGCTGCCAGGCTCTTTAAGCCCCATGGTAGGCAGCCATATGCATAGCGGCCCACATTCCTGGTGAGGCTTGCTAGGGCCAGCATAGGTAATACGAACCTTGTCCTCCAAAACCTGGGCTGGGTGCTTTGGTTGCTGATTGCTGCTTTAGGTCACTGCAGGGCTGTCACTTAGCCTGGACATTGTTTAGAGTTCCATAGATTGAAGAGGCACTCAAATAACTATAAAGAGAGAATCCACCCCCCTACCTTTTGGGAGAAAGATTTTAAGAAAACCTTTGTCACACTACTTGTTGCTTTCAAGGATAACAAAACAGAAACAACACCCACATAAAACAAGGAATATATACTCTGTGACAGTAGTTTGTTTCCATGTCTATTTTTCCTTTTGTTTTGTTTTTTTGTACTGGGAATTGAACTCAGAACCATGTGCTTACCAGACAGGTGCTGTGTCGCTGAGCTAAACCCCTGGCCTCCAACAGACAGTAGTTTGGAGAAATCACATATGGATAGTTCTATCGCTTGATAAACAAAAATAAGCAATTCTTAAACAGTGGGAGCATTATACTTCATGAGTTACCAAAACTTAATACTCAGAACCTCCACCTTGCACAAAATTACAGAACACATTGTGTTGGTTTGGGGGTTATTGTGCAAAGGGAACAATATAATACAGGATACATACTTTATATGATTATTTATAATAGTCACCCAGAGAACAATATACAAAAGAGTGAAGGAAATTTGTCCACACACTGTGACCAAGGAATCCAGCTGACGGCCTGGATCCCACAGAAATGTCCTGCATGAGTCCAGCTGAATACCTAGAGCTCATAAGAATGCCTCCCAAGAATCCAACGGGAGGCCCAGAGCCTGTGACAATGTCTCATGCAGGCCTTTTTTATGGATCTGAGCTAGGAAGGCCCAAAGACCAGTGGTGGAATCTAGGAAGTCTGCCAGCGTCATGAAGGATCTGTGCTAGCAGGCTGAGGGATCTGCACTGGAGCCAGGAAGTGATGCTCAGAAGAACCAGAGCTCCCCAGAAAGGTACCACAGCCATCCTCAGCAACAGTAAGGTCCTGAGCTCCTCTAATGGTCAAGACGGCCGAGTTCCCATCAGGGAAGCCAACACAGCAAGCTTCTCAGGAGACTGGCAGTGCACCATCTTCCCCTCCAGAGCCAGGAAGTGGTGCTCAAAGTGAGGACCAGAGCTCCCCCAAAGTGAACCAAAGCCATTCTCAGTGCCAACGAGGTCCTGAGCTCCTCAGAGGATGAAAACAGCCAAGTTTATCAGAAAAGCCAGCATGACGAGCTCCTCCAAAACAACCAACATCTCCTTATAGCTTCTACCAGCTCCCAACAGCCTCTCACAGCTCCCTACAGCCTTCTTCTCCTTCTCCAGTTCTGCCTCTTATGCTGCTGGCAACAATCCCCAGGTGGGCCTCCCACACCCAGCACCACACTTACTCAGTTCGGCTGGGGGTTATAAGTTGACCACCAGTCAGTCCACCACACACATAAAGAAACAGAAAAAAGGAATTTGACAGAACCCATCCCCAAGTGTTAGAATTATTAATCCACCCCAGAGCCTGGGCATTGTAGTTATTTACCAATCTGTTACATCAGCTGTTTTCAGTATGTTCTATGAGCTAAAGGTAATTCCTTTGGTAACTTCCAAAGGAGTTAAGGAAATCAGGTAAACAACATATGGAAAAAACATGAGAATATCACTAAAGGGGTAGAAATTATACAAAGGCACCATGGGGAAGCTCTGGAGCTGAAAAGTGCAATAAATGAAATGAAAAGCTCACTGGATGGTTTCAACAGCAGATTAAGCAGGTGGATGAAAGGATCAGCAAACGAATAAGACATGAAAATTATCCTGTCTGAGAAGCAGAGAGAAAATAATGAAAAGAAAATATACACCATATGAGGGACTTTGGTCACACGAGGATACAAAGTATGGAAATCTCAGAAGAGAAGGAGAAAAAGGGACCTAAAACATTTGGAGAAATGGTGGCTCAAAGCCTACCAAATCTGATGAAAGGCTGATTACACATATCCAAGAAGCTCAACAAATGCCAAACTAGATAAATTAAAAGAGATTCAAGTTGAAACACATAATAGTCTAACTGTCAAAACCCAGATACAGAGAAGAATTTGGAAGCAGCAAAAGACAAGTTATCATCACATACAGGGATTCTCAGTAAGATTTGTAGCTCATTGCTCCTCAGAAATCATGGAACACTGAAGGCAATAGGATGGCATTTTAAAAAATATTTAAATTATTTGTTCATTTTGAGACAGAGTCTTGCTATGTAGTATAGGCTGCTGTTGAACTCACTATGTTAGCCCAGGCTGGCCTCAAACTCAAGGCAAACCTCCTGTTTTAACTACTTGAATGCTGGGATTCCAGGTGTTCATCACCACACCCAGTTTAGAATGGCATTTATAAAATCTTGAAAGAAAATTATGTCAAGCAACAATTCCATATCTGCCAGGTGTGGTGGTGCATTCTGTAATCCCAGCACTCATGAGATTGAGGCAAGAGGATTGCCATGGGTTCAAGGCCAGCCTGAGCTGCATAGTGATACCCTGTCTCAAAACACACACACACAAACCCAAAAAAAGAACTGTATCTAACAAAACTATCATTTAAGAATAAAGGCTATTCCCCACAAGAAATGTAAACATTATATACTACAAACATGTACTATTATATTAAAAAATTAAAAAAGAAAAGGTGAAATAAGACATTTCTAGATTAACAAAAGTTGAGAGATTTGTCCTCCAAGAAATACTTAAGGGCTGGGTGTGGTGGCACATGCCTGTAATCCCAGCACTCAGGAGGCTGAGGCAGGAGGATCCTTGCGAGTTTGAGACCAGCCTGGGCTACAAAGTGAGCACAAGGCCAGCTTGAACTGCATAGCGAGACCCTGTCTCAAAAAGACAAAAACAAAACAAACAAACAAACAAAAAAAATTAAGGGTCTTTTGGCTAAAATGGGAAGACATTAGATGTCATTTTGAAACCATAAGAAAAACAACACAAAACAAAATTGGTAAAGGTAGCTACATAGGTAAGCATAAAAGCCAGTACTATTACATTCTTGATTTGGTCTGTAACTTCTTTTTTCCTGTACAATTTTAAAACTAAATATAATTGTAAATGTATGTTAATGAGTATGGAATCTATGAAGATATAATCTGTGGCAATAATAATAAAAAGGGAGGGAATGGAGCTAGACATGAACAGTGTATTCTACTGAAACTAGGTTGATCATTTAAACTGGGTTGTTACAAATTTACAATAAACAGAGTGAGGGGATTACAGGTGTGTGCCACCATGCCTGGTGTGGGTCATGGGTTTTTGACAAGGATGCCAGGGCTATTGGAGGGTGAAGAAGGCTCTTCAAATGATTTCTGGGAAATTGGCTGTTTCCATGTAAAAGAAGGAAGCTGGACCCTTAGCTTACATCGTACACAGAAATTAAAGCTCCAAGTGGTCCAGAGATTCAAATTTGTGAGCTAACGCCACTAAACTCCTTGAAGTTTAGATAAAAATCTTCATTACCTGGACCAGGACATCTAGAGTTTGTCACCAAAAGCATGGGGAACAAGAGCAAATCATGATATACTACATGTCATAAAAATTTAAAACTTTTGAATTTTAAAGGCATTTCTGTCACAAAATGAGATAAATTGAAGATCATAATCTAATGTGGGGTCCCGGCCTTGGGGTTTCCCGGAAGGAGGGCTTCCGGCGCACAGGGAGCTGCGGGTGGGGAG